AAATGGAAAAAAGGAAACAAAGTCTTTGTAAATAGGGAGGGATGGAGGGGTTGAAGGGAGGGCAGGGGAAGGGGGAAAAATAAGAACGGAGCGAGTATGTAAAGGTGCAAATTTCCAATGATGAATGTCATATTGTACACCTAAAATGTACCAATAAAAAGATATACACAAAAAACTGGACTGGGGATTTGGCTCAGTGGTTCCACCACCTGCCTTGCAAAAAAGAAAAAAGAAAGAAAGAAAAAGAAATAAATTAACCTAGAGATGATTTAAAGTATGCAGGAGGGTACACACAGGCTATATGAAATTATTATGCCATTTGATATAAGGAACTTGGGCCCCTTCAGATTTCTGTGTTCATGGGGGGAGGTCATTGGAACCAATCTCCCTCAAGTACCAAGGGATGACTGCATGTATCAGATATTCCACCTTGAGTATGTAACACTTTAATAAGTCCATGGAGAGCATTGTGCATCAAAGAAAAGCATTTTTCTTAAAGAAAGAAGCTTTCAGTTTTAACTCATGGATCTGTATTCTTGTCATCCAAATCATAAATCAAATTTTACATAATTCAAATACTTTTCCACCACAATTATATATAACTGACAGCCATAAATGTGGCAATCATGATTAAAATGATTATCTTGAGTGAAAGTGTTTGGAAACCACTCCAGAGTTACTCCTGGCCAGTGGCAGAGGAGCAACCTTGGAGCCACAGCATTTGCTGAACAGGTGGCAAACCCAGGCATCACAGAATCCCTCCCCAAAGGGTCCCCTGCCACAAGTTGGCTTCTGCTCCACCTACTGCAATTGCCAGTGTTCCTTCAAGTGCAAAGACAGTTTCCAGTTCTCATCACTATGCATAACTTTCTCTGAAAAAATAAAAGCCAGCTTTGGAAGACAATTTGTGTTCCCTTGGCCATGTCGTGTACCAACACACAAACACCAAGCACATCTAGACAAGACTGTCGGTAAATACTAAAACTCAACGCAAAACAGAAAACGAACGCTTGTCAGGGGCAGCAGCCTCATCTGCACCAGTTCAGATGACTAAGGAGCCTCAGGAAGTGGGACCGTGAATCAGACGGGACCTCCTTTCCTCTGACTCAAGGCTGAGCTCATGTGCCAGGTGGCAGTGGAAAGGCCTGATTCTGGAGGTGATGAGTTCTTCACACACCCACAGAAACTAACAAAAAACTTAGCCCTTCATCTCTGCTCCACAAAGCTGGCTCTGTGACCAAGCCCTACTAATTGCTTTAAATGTTATTTAATCTCATAATAGTACATGTTCCAAAATATTAGCCCATTTTAAAGGTAAAGAAATTGAGGCACAGAGAGACTACTAAAGTCTCACAGCCAAGTGTGTGCATTACCAGTACTTCCTATGATGTTACACTCTCTCCCAGTAAGGAGCTTTAAACCAGAATTTAAATGGCATAAAATATACCATTAATTTTTTATTCTCTGGAATTTTTACCATAGACTTTTGTCACTGCATCTTAGATAATCTCTATCAGTAATAGAGCATTTAATTCCTGATTTTCTTTATTCTATTTACAAGCTTGAAGACATGTCTACTGCATGATTTGGAATACAGTGAGGATAATTAGAGTGCCCTCTCTTTTTCTGGCATATAAAGTCCCAAAAAGGGACTGAGCAGGGCACTTTTCAGGAGGTGTATTAACTCCAGCTTCCAAGGCAGGGCCTGCACAGCCCATGTTTCTTGGGGTCGGCTAAATCTCCACAGGAATAATAGAGCCAGGGGTTCCACAATGGCCCCTCGAGTTGCTAACTCCTCAAAAGCAGTTTGAAGCATTTTCTCCAAGTCTGTGAAGTATGCTGCTGGAATTTCAATTGGGATTGAGTTGAATCTATATAGAAGTTTTGAAACAAGAAGAGACCTAGAACAGCAAAAGCAAGACTAGATAATAAAGACAAAGTACGGGTTATGACAATCCTCAACTTGAAACTATACTACACAGCTACTGTGATAAAAACAGCAAGTTACTGGCAAAGAAACAGACCTGAGGAT